GTATTATTTTTTAGGACGCTGTTGATTTTGTAGCAATTGGCAATATATTGTTAGAGAAATCAAAGGTCAAAATCCACTTTTGAAGACTTGCTCCTTCCAAGACGCACCTACATTTGGATGCTTACTACAAGAACTTATTAAATTATAAAACTATGAGAGTAACATGTATTCAAAAAAAAAAATCGTACCGAAAGATTTGGACTAATGATTACCGCTTAGTACACTACACATTGATTTTCCTTTATTTATAGGCATATATGAAGATGGCACTATATAGGTCTTTTATTTTCATTTTACACAGGGTTATGATAATTTGGGATTTGAAACAAAATCAAATGAATAACGGGGTCCAATTTCCCCTCTCTATCACCATTATGCACTTTATAAAACATTTTGTTTGATACGTGGTTATCAGTTGTAAATTATTCCTCTTAAGTGAATGTTGTTACATGGGAAGCATCTAGCTTTAGATAATTCTTATTATATAATTAATATAATAATTTTGTAGGGTTCCCTCATCCACATGGCTGGCCCTAAGCGAGGGATAGAAATGATGGACCTTACTCTGATCGAATATGACATGAGGGTCAAGACAGGCAGGCAAAGAAGAAAAAGTTGACCTACAGCTGATCGATGGTGCATCACTCATAGGCCCTGCAGGCATATGGAATCAGCCGTTTACAATGCACATCCCTGGCGATTATGGCGCAGTTGATATAACATTGTCACGTCTTCATTGGGCAGTTGAGGCAACTGTAGAGGTTCTCATATCTGAAGTGCAAAGCAGTTTTGATTTGTTGCTCAGTTGTTTAACTAGTGGCCTGAATGAGCGAATCTGGCTCTTTGATGGTGCAATCACTGAGTCATGCGGCTTGAAGAGGTCTGTGGTTGCTGTACGAATGGATTCTTTGATAGATCTGAAGTTCAAAATAGGCACACTGTCATCTATTTCTGGCCAACAATCTTGTTCCTTCGAGGCAAAAATTCATGGTCACGATACTCAAGAAATAAAGACTGCTCTTGCTTTAATCTTAGTGAAGGTGACTTGGTCGACCTTACCTTATGAATTAGACTGATAACACTTCTGCTTCTGTAACGAGTGGGTTCGAGAGACCAACAGGGCTTCCTAAACTTAGGTGTGGCGAACTTGGATTGTGAACTATTGTAATAAGCTACCGTGTATTTGATACTGGGACGGACTGCGTTGGGACGGGTTTGACCCAGTTTCAGGGGCGTTTGGTTTGGAGTCGGGTAGAACTAGGTCGAACCCGGAGGAGAATATTCACATGATACGCGGGTTCTCCTGGTAGCAACAAATCGGTAATGCTCTTATTTTTTTGTTTAATAGCTGGGCCTACGAACCAGTCAACAGGCCTCCTCCCCTCACCACGGCATACACGGTTTATAAAAAAAACGGAGCGGCTAGCGGCCGGACGTCCGAGCGCTAGCGTCCAGAGCCTCGCGCCTGCTGCACCCCCGCATACGCATGTTGCGCCTGCCCGCACGCCTGCGTCAGCTTCACGTGGGGCCCGCACCGCTCCGTTTCACATGCATGCGCGCCCCCATACGGGGCGGTGTCTCAATCTGCGCTCGCTCCGTTTCCTACGCCTGCCGCTCGCGCCCCCTCCGCTCCCACACGCATGCATGGGGCCAGCAGCTGCAAGCAAGTGGCTGTGTCAGGTGGGGTCCACTACAATCGGCCTGTTCGCTGGTTGGTTTTAGCCAGCCCAAACCAGCCAGCCAACAGTCTTTTTCTCTCACAATAAACCAGCACCAGCCAACCCAAACCAGCCCAGAAACCAACCAGCGAACAAGCCGAATATGTGCAACATCATATCTACTTTTACAACAAAAAGATGAAACATTTGCAACATATGTCTAAAACAGATAAAACATTTGAGACACACCCTTAAAACACCATTGCAACATGTCCAACATCCAGATAACACTTGCAACATACAAAAGAAGACAGATGAAATACTTGAAACATGCGTCTGAAAAACTTGCAAAAAAAACTTAAAAAAAAGAAGACATGTGGCAATGGTGTTTGAAGTGTATGTCTCAAATGTTTCATCTGTTTTAGACTAATGTTATAAATGTTTCATCTGGATGTTATAAAAGTAAATCTGGTGTTGCACATGTTGTAATGGGACCCACCTGACGCAGCCACCGCTTACCGTTGCTGGTCCTGTGCATGCGTCTAGGAGCAAAGGGGGCGCGAGCGGTAGGCGCGGGAAACGAAGCAGGCGTAGATCGAGACGCAGACAAGCGCGGACATGCGCATGCACGGCAAACGGAGCGGTGCGAGCCCCATGTGAAGCGGGCACAAGCGTGTGGGCGAATGCAGCATCATGCGTACGCGGGGACGTAGCAGGCGCGAGTGTATGGACGCTAGCACCCGGATCGGACGTCTGGCTGCTAGCAGGCCACCGCCGCTCCAAGCTATAGCAGGCGATTGATATGCGTGTCAGGCTTTTCTATACTTAATACTAAAAGAGACAAAATTTCTAGACAACATTAATTTTTCGTCCAACCTAATAATCCTAAAGTGTATCGGTGAGGATTTTCCAAAAAAAAACTGAGGTGCAAGGAGACCGAGACTCTTCAATACGGTCTCCATAAGTCTACGGTTGGTGCAAGGAACCAAATCTGGGTCAGGAGCGTTGTTGCAGGGTGGGTGTCAGTGCACCACGTGCTATGGAACAGGAGCTAGGGTTTTTCTTTTCTTTTCTGTTTACGGTGATTTCTTCCGTTTGAGAAGCAAATTAGCCGTTATGTCGCTCTACGCTAACCTTGTCACTTATGCCATATGCCACAACATTAAATTATGGAACCATGTAAGATTATTATCTTTCGTCGATATGGAAAAATGAAAAACGAAATTAAAAAAGCTCTCTGTGGTAAGATAAAATGTTAAAATTAAAAATTAAGATAAAATTCATATTTTCTCTCAACCCGTTTTTTTATTTCCAAAATAACCCCGGTGTCCTGCGGACTCCGTATGCGTGTTGCTGATATGGAAGTTAGAAACCCGGAAAATAGTCAAAGCCACCAACAGAATCGAAAACGAACTCCAAATCAAAACCAAAAGGGCACCCACGTCGCACCTATCCAGCTCGTTCTTCGTCCGGATTGGGTTATGTTTCTAGAACTAGAACTCGCATATGCTTGCAACCCCATAAATCTGCTTGCTTCAGCGGTCATTGCCGCATTGCCGAGCACCACCATTAATTGCGTCGTTCAATCTGAGGAAGAGGATGCCGGCCATCACCTTCCTTCACCGGCATCATCAGTGTGCTCTGTCACACCACCACGTCGTCGTCGCCGAAGGTTCCGAGCCAGAACCCAATATAATTCAACTGCCTGGCATGGACTGCTTGCCGTCCGAGGTGCCGGAGACGCACACGCAGCTAGAGTTCGAGGCACCATCGGGCATGGACGTGGCCATGCTGGGGCCAACATGTCTCTGAACTCCTGGGCCCGTGGATGTTACTGTGGGCCCATTCGCTGGTCTGAAACTTAGCTGAAAAACACTGTTCTGACTGGTTTGTTGTGAGAGAAAAACACTGTAGCGGTTGAAACTGGCTGAATCTCTAGAGGAGAACCAGCCGGCTGGTTCGCTGGAACCAGACAAGGCCTGTGGCCTGTGGTGACAGAGCGCGGCTAAACTCGCCTGGGCTGGACCAAGATGGGTAGCAACAACTGCAAGAATTGCCGAGATGGCATAGCCATGGAAGAAGCAAGTAGAAATACAAGAAAAGTGTGCCTGGCGGTCTGAGTTCTGATTAACACGACAACATGGAGAAATTGAGATACGATGACAAGTTTATTAGATTTTATAGAAAGAGCAAAACATAAATAAATACAAATACACTATTTATGTTTTCGTACCTGTAAATATTTGATAGTTTTTTTTCTTGGGGGAATTTTCTGTGTGCCATTAAGAAAGTTGTAGATCTCATCGAGATCTATAATTTTTATATAATAATTATTTTTATTTAATTCCACAAAAAAATAATTTGATATGATTAATATATCTTAGAAAAATCATATTATTTTTTTACGGAATTAAATGAAAATAATTTTTATATGAAAATTATAGATCTCGACGAGATCTACAACTTTCTAGTTTTGAGTTTTTTCATTTGAAGTCATTAAAATGCTCAAAAAAATTAATAACATATTTAGACTTAAGGGTATTTTCGTCTTTTCACACCTTCAGTTTGACGGTGTTAGAGTCCAAACTGACGGAAGTGGTATGGAGGACACGAAAAAGTTGGAGTAGTGGCGCTGAAGACTGCTGAACTTTTCCAGGGACGCACAGGACATTGCGATCTTTTTTAATGGTACACAGGGAATTGTCTCTTTTTTCTTACCGTTGCAACACACCGACACTTTTGCTAGTAATAAATAATACTCGGGCCATGGTTTTTTTACAGGCCATTAAAACCAGCATCAGGCCCGTCTAGCAAGTAGTCACCGGCCAGGCTTAGCCCGCCGGGCCAGGCCAGATTTGCTCAGGTCTATTGACAAATGAAGAATTTGCAGCAAAGAGAAGCCCAAGATTTCATTTGCAAGGTGCAAAGCGAATCGAACCAAGGATAAAGGCACTATAGGCCGATAACCGTACCTAATAAGACTCAAATTTTTATTTTGATTATATATAATTTTGTACCAAAAATGAAACATAAATAGACTGATCGGTTATTAAAGTCTTATCCTAACAACACCAAATACACCTTATATGAAATTCAACTAATCACATATGGATCTGTGAAATACATAATAGATATCTCATAAAATATTGGACAAACTTTACCCCTCTACAAGGTCTTCAATAACCATCCTTCCTTTAGGTATTGCTAAAAAAATTTGCAATGTCCAGACACATGCATAATCTGATGTCCCCAAACTGAACCATGATCAGAAGGTGACACAACACCATTTCACAGCAGAGGAGTTGAGTGAAATGGGACCTAGAAACATCATGGAAGATTAAATCACTTCTTGGGATAGTTGGTAGGATCAGGTCCAATATCACGTGATCCCGTATTCACATATGGCCCTCGGAAAGTAGCCTGTGGTGGCAGAGGTTTTGAGGAATCAATGATAGGTCTGTTCTTTGATTTCCTGCAAACAGTGTGCAGATTATAAAACAAAGGTTAGTGCACAATTCCTCTTTCCAAGTTCCATGTTGGTGCAAAACAGTACATAGGTTGGTCTTACACAAAAAGGAACGGAAATGATAAGCCAGCACCAGCGAAGACCAGTAATCCAGTGGCAACTAAAGCATTACGTGCCTTTGACATGAGCTCACCATATAACTGTACAAAATAAGGGAGAGATACACCAGATTAGAAAATACAACCAAAATCTCTATTTGTTATCACAAGATTAAATAGGACTCAAAAAGACAAGGGCACCTTAGATGACTGGAAGGCAAGAGCTATATTGTGCCTCACAAGATTTAATACGTATATTAAAACAGGAATTAGTTGGTAAAGATTTGTTTCCACATGTCTTCTTATTTGTGACTAGAGAAGCAGTTGCGAAACCGGAAAATCTCAAAAAAACTACTTCTAATTCCTGTATAAGGTACCAAATTGATTGGGATACTGGTTCAAGATTTTATCTATAAACAAAGATTTTGTCTATACTGATTCAGAGTGGCAAAACAAAGCTTCTGAGCACTGTTTTTGCTTCACGACTTTATCAATAAAAAAAGTCAATTGAATGGATCGACCATATTTATGATGGTACAGTTTTGCCACTGAGCAAGATACCATACACAAACCAATGAATCAATATATAGTTGCTGAAGATGTGCTAGCTAGACCTAGTGTTTCAGTTTTCTCAATTAAGAACAAAATAAGGTTTCGTGAAGCGTTTCAGAGAAATTCATATGAGGTGCATTAATCTGTAGGGCAGACCCAGTGCCGGAGGCTCCCACATGAGTGGGGTCTGGGGAAGGGAAAAACCGAGGCAAGCCTTCCCCCCACAAATCTACGGAGAGGCTGTTTCGAACCCACGACCTGGTGACTCAGTGAGACAGCTCTCACCACTGCACCAGGCCTGCCCTTCCAAGGTGCATTAATCTGTATCTCAAAAAAATTATACTTAGCATTTAATTCACAGTGTTAACCTCAGTTTGTCACTTAACAGCTCCACTGAGTTTCTCTGCATCAAGTTTATAGATACTAACTAGTTAAAAGATTCAGTGAGACATTCATGATTTCACATATGTTTACAAAATTCTAGTCTAAAATACGAGAAACTAATTGATCACTTCATTTTGGATCACAACACCTGAATCTCATTGGACAAGGTGTGATTTAAAAGGAACGTAGTTCATCACATATCTGGGAATCCTGGCTATTTGGGCACTGGCACTTTTTCATATGGCTTGCAGCCAGCAGATTGCTTGGCTTTAAGAAGTCTGCCACACCCTGCTATCTGAAAGCTCTACGATCAGGAGGGTGAGACCATCAACCATCTCTCGGTGCCCTGTGCTTTTGAACAACAAATGGAGTCTGTGGACTTTTGAGGGATGCAAGTTGTGTTAACATGTGTTCTGGTGTGAGTCCTTTTCTTTTCTCTTGCTGTTCTGGCACAAGTTATGTGTTTGAGGCAGTGTTCAAAAAAACGCAACTAAACGCTTGCTTAGGCGCACTTTTAAGAACTTAAGCATGGAATGGAGCCCTGGCGCCTCGCCAAGGCCACAAGCATCCAATTAAACGCTGGCCAACGGGTAAATGGCGTGGAATCATGGGGAATCAGAAAGAAGGCAAGCTAGCGTGTGCACGGGCAAGCGGCAGGAGTAACTGTGAGCACGGTGGGCAGCAGCGCGCACAGAAACAAGATCTTGAGCAGTGGCCACAGCCGCCACCTCCGCATCTGCCATTGATGCCAGCAGCAAGGGTAATCTCGAGCACCAACTCTTCAAGGAGCCACAGGTGCAGCCCTGTGCCCCTGCCACCCCACGTGTGCCTCCCTGGTGCATGCTATCAAGAGGCTTATGCCACCTGAGGCCAGCAATCCCAAACCTTGTGGTTTGTGAAGTGTGACTGGCTGTGCGGGTGTGTGGTGGATGTGTGCGGGCGCACGGCGCTGGGAGGAAGACAGCCGGGAGGGGAAACAGAATGGGAGTGGATTAGGCAGGGGACTTACGATGTAGGGCCGGCCCCTTAATATCTTTTGGGCCAAGGGAGATACTACTGCTGGCCTGCTGGCCTGCTGGCATGTTGTTGTAACAAGGATTGGATTAAATTTGTGATGCAATGATACACTTAAACATATTCCAGTAAAAAAAAGCACAAACACTTAATCGTGTTTAATCTCCGCTAAGGCATCCTAGGCGCTAATCAGTGGCCTGGCGCCTGCCTAGCGCCTAGCCCCTTTTGGAACCTTGGTTTGAGGATGTTGCTGCACCTCTTTTCCTCTTTTCAATGCAAAATATTCGAGAAAACAAAGTTGACTGCATAGTTGTTTGAAAGCATGTTTTTTGAGGCATTGTAGCATACCCCAGGCACCACAGGACTCCACAAAGTTTTAGTTGCACTATATTTCCTAGGCATCTAGGCGTACCCCCAGTGCCGCAGGCACCACAATGCCTCAGAACCCATGTCTGCAAGCAAAGGGAACTGATAACACACCAAATAAAAAAATAGTGTTTTATGTGCCATGCCTAGTCATGCCATGAGAAGCCTCGTCTATCAAAAATTCAAAATGTTGTTTTATGTGCTAAACGTGAGCTCCCTTCATGTAAAAAACTGAAAACTGATGAAATCAAAGTTTCTCTTGAGATAATGAAGTGCACATTTGAAGATGATAACCTGTAGGGATTGGAACTGTGACAATAGAAAGTGATGATGAAATGCACAGAGAAAGGAAACCAGTTTTACAAAAGGATGGTGAAGGTAGTAGAGAGGAAGTTGACAAGGTGGCTGAATCATTGGCCTTGATATCTTCCCATCCCAAAGCCCTAAATCTCAGTGATAGAAGTTTGCCTAAAACTTTCAAATGTACTATTTGCACTGAGATGCTGAATGCCACTGATGTGCATCGACCACCCAGTACTGGATGTCACTGTTTGTGGATCATGAGATCAACGATTTCTTGTGATAGAGAAGAATCATCTTGAGGTGAATGTTTACCATCTTTAGTGTAGTAGTAAAGAAAATTTCAAGCTTGTACAGAATTAGTTCTGATTTGTGCTGCCATGATCTTGGCATTAACAATTTCTAAACAAGTCCTAGACAATACATGTTGTCAAAAAAGCTACCATGAGACCATGGGTGGTGCACGTGCCGGGTGCAACTCAACTACAACTACAAACATTCTAGGAAAGTGCCCTGCTGCAGCTGTACTAGACAAATAGGCTTATGTTAACACTATTCCGGCTGAAAAAACAAGCCGTCTTTTTCAGCTTGTTTTTTCAGCCGGAACATTGTTTTTCTCTCGAGACAAATCATCTGGAACAGCGTTTTGGCTTGTTTTTTCAGCGAAGCGAACGGGGATTAGAATCTCAAGTTCGTCTGCTAGTCCCATGTGTTTGAACAACTACTGGTATATTGGGAACTTGCAATCTTGGAACTTAAAACGATAGCAAAACAAGGGTTGATTACAGCAAACTGAATTTTTATACCTACCGCTTGCTTACTTCTTTCCAAAAAGTTAGCACCTCCGCACCTGACAGTGGAAGAAAGCCGGGAGGCCACACGGTGGCAGCCTGGCGCCGCAACCCCCGGCGAGTGCTCGCGCCCCGCACGGCCACAGCTGTCGGCGTCGCGTCGAGCCGTCGACCGCCCGTCCCCGCCGCCCACTGCGATGCTAGGGTTGCGGATTTGCTGATTTGGTCGGCGTCACGCCCCCCACGCACTGCCGCTGCCGCAGCGGTGATGGTGGTGGGTCGGCGAAGGTCCGGAATAGTTAGGTGGGCTTCTCTTCTCCTTCAAAGCCTATGCTTAATTTTGCATTGAGCCCAGTTTAATGGCCGGCCCAACGAGGAAAAAGCCCACGTTACCTCAACTTTTACAAAAGTCTGTTTTTCCTCCATTAACTCTATAAACTGACTAAACCACCTCCTAAACTTTTAAAACCGCTCGTTTTACCTCCATAATTGGTTATAAGCGATTTTCAAAAGTGGTTTTGTCTTTTTTCTATTTTTATTTATTTCGGTTGAATCTTTGAAAAACCATAGTAAATCACAGAAAATTTATAAAATGGAAATTTTATTTTTTTACTCCACAAGAGTAGATCTACATAGTGAACATATATGTGATATGCTTTAGTATAATTTTTTTGTTGTAGCTTTAGATCTATGCTAATCTATAATTAATTCATAGCTGCAGTTTCCATGGTTCAATTGGTGAAATTTTTATGGTGGGCTAATTATTGTATGCTTGAACTATAGTAAAAAATTCATACTTATTGGATCATGTATAACTTAGTTATAGATTTATAAATTAATTATAGAAAAGCATAGATCTAAAGCTACAGGAAATATTTGTACTAAAACATACCATATTATATGTTCACTGTGTATATCTACTCATGTAGAGTCCAACAAAATTGGATTTTCTATTTTATGATTTTTCTGTGATTTACTATGATTTTTCAAATACTCAACCGAAATAAATAAAAAAGATAAAGATAAAACCGTCATTGAAAACCGCTTATAACCTGTCAGGAAGGTAAAACGAACGGTTTTAAAAGTTCAGGGAGGTGGTTTACCTGGTTTTAGAGTTTGGGAGGAAAAGCAGACTTTCACAAAAGTTAAGGAAGGTAATGTGGACTTTTTCCGCCCAACAACGCAATGCGCATTTCATTCAAGTAGTCTGTTAACTCTACGGGGTTGTTTGGTTCGTGACAAAACTTGCCACGCTAAAATTAGTCATGCGTTTTTCAATAATTGTTTGGTTGACTGCCACAACTATAGCGTGCCACACTTTCGTAGCACCCTGTCCCACATGTCATAGACTTATTTTTGTGCCAAACTCTATCATAAGTGTGGCTTCAATTTTGCTCGCCGCACTTTTTATGTTAGTCATAGTTTATCGAAGGTTAGACATGACAAACTACGACACCAATCAAACGGACCCTACATCCGTGACCCGACAGTATCTGAAAAAATAGCCCAAAAATACTTATAAATATTAAAAAGAGCATGTTATCAACTAAACGCTCAAACTAGTTCGTTTAGTCAGACCTTACACTATGGTGTGAGATGTGACTGATAACCTCGGTCACGTTATATGTATTGGCGTGAAAATAGATATGTTGTATGGTACCGACACTACGTGAAAAACGGTTTGTAGCAACGGGATAAATTTTTTTAGGGACGGCTGGTGATGGAGCCGCCCCCACAGTGACGTGCTCGGGATCCACGAGACCAGCCGCCCCTACAAATAAAACAGTAAGGGCGCCTGGTGATACGAGCCGCCCCTACAAATGGGTAGGATTTATAGGGGCGGCTCACTCACCAGCCGCCCCTGGTGTTTCTATTTGCAGGGGCGGCTGGTGATTGAGCCGACTCTACAAATGCCCTACATACAGTCACCCCAGCCAAAATATCTATTGCCCTCTCTCTCTCTCCGTCTCGACTCTCTCTCTCTCTCCCTCGCTCTCCCTCTCTCCGAGCCCCTCAGTCTCTCCCCCACGCCGCCCCTCCCTCCCCCCACGTAGTGACGGGACCTCCCTCTCCAGCGGAGTCGCACGGCATCGCACCCCCCTCTTCTCCGTGCGGCGGCACTCAGCGGCGCACCCTAGGGTGGCGGGGGTTCTGGGGCGCGGCCTCCCAGCGGTCGCGCGGAGCTCGGTGCCCTCCTCCAGCGCCGATAGTCGCGCGGGGGGCCGTCCCCCTCCTCCTGGGCCGGCGGCGCGTGGGACCCTGTCCCCTCCCCCCAACGGAGGCACGATGGCGGAGCTCGGTGCCGTGGCTCGGTGGCGCGGTGGCGGGACTTGGTGGCGCGGTCCCCTTCACCTTCTCTCCTCCGGCGCACTGCTGGAGGCCACATGAAGCACATGGTGGCGGCCACCACCAGATCCGGCGAGGATGAGCTCGATCCGACGAGGACCAGCCCAGATCCGAGTGGCCACCACCAGATCCAGCGAGGAGAAGCCTGATCCGGCGAGGATGAGCCTGGATCTGGCAATGTAAGTAGTCATTAATCAATTCTTGAAGTTAGGTTAATCAGGTTACAGTTCTTGTCATGTTTACCACCTGCTGGATCCACCGTGTTGTTCTGTGGCTGAAACTTGTTTTTGTTCCCACCTTCATCACAATGCCCTACCAACAGAGTTCTGAAAACAGTTGTCTTTATGCGTTAAAAGTTAGTCAAGGTTGATGGATTTCAGTCAAAATTAGTTGAGCTTACATGTTTATCATATGGACAGTGGTATTTGAAAAATACTTTATTCACTGATGTCATCAAATCACCAAAATTATATTGTATGACTTTAGTCGTGTGGGTTGTGACTTCTGAAGTGGTAAGC